GGTCGGTCGGTCGGTAGGTCGGTAGGTCGGTAGGTCGTTGGGAGTGATAGATGTAAGTAGGTAGGTACTTAGGCTGGTTGGTAGCGATGGAGGTAGGTAGCTAAGAAGTGAGGGAGGGAGGGAGAGATAAAAAATGAACGTACAAATATGACTGATCGACTCATGTTTTTTTTTTCCTTTTTATTCCAGCAAGCGTGGTTATTGGTAAGTAAGATGTCTTTTTCAAAATTTTATTTGGTTGATTAAAATATATTTATATTTAGGATGCGAAAAAGGGACACATTATTCACCTGTATAAAATCTAACTGATGGATGGTTTGTGGGAATATTTGCACGAACAAACGTTCCACTCAAAAGCTTAATTTTTAATTAATCGATTGATAATTTCATCAGGGCAGAGCAGCACAGCAGCACCCAGTACAGCTGGAACGACAGCAGCACCAACTACAGGAGTATCAGCCTCGTCAATTATGCCAGCTACTGGAAGTACGACCCCACCGCCAAGTACAACGGCAGCTGCATCCTCTGTCATGCCAGCCACAGGCTCAACTACTCCTTCACCTCCTCCATCAACAACGCCGCCGCCCCCACTCCCTTCATCGACCCAGCCTCCTTCTCCTTCACCGCCACCGCCAACTCCACCAACAACACCACCAACACCACCACCTCCACCACCAATTGCGCCAACGACCCCTTCACCCAAAGGTAAAGGCTGGTAATGTTTGAATATAATCAACTGAAAATGTTTATAGTAGGAATCTAGACTTAAGGTAAGGGTGTATATGGACCCTTCTCAAAAAGAACTTGGATAGGAGTATAATATTGGAATACAAAAATTTTTTTAATCATTATCATCATTATCATTACCATTATGTCATCATCATCATCATCATTATCATCATCATCATCGTTATCACCGTCGTTATTATCATTGTTACTTTAGCTTCTGGTTGAATAAATTGCTTGAAGACAATAAGAAACCATTTCAATTTTACGGCAAGTCTTACCATGTACGGGTTGTGAGCCAGTACCGTATGTTTCAAACTCCTACGAGCTGAACGTCTCTTGCTTAATTTACTACTAGAGATATAATATTTCCATCTATTTAACCATCATTGATTCAAGGACCACGGACAACTCTAAAAAAGTAAGGAGGGGGGGGGGGGCTGCTTAGATTGGAAAATGTAAATATATGTATGACATAAGTAACTCCCTTACGGAGGACCAATTGTTCCTGAAGTTGATAGATCCTCCCCATATTTTACAATCAGCTGCAGCAAAATACGTTTACAATTGTTTTGCTCTGCGTAGTGAAAAAAAGCAACAACAACAAAACAAATAAAAATCAATACTTTTMTAATATTGCATAAAGATGATTAGGATTAGTAACGCATTTTATCGAAATAATTATATGAACATTTATATATACATATATATATACTGTCTGTCTGTCTGTATGATTCAATTTTATTGCATATAGCTCCGATGTAAATTTATTTACAAAGAGGCAACAAAATATCTCGTATCTTGTATCTCGTATCTTAGGAGACTAAAAGACTGTGAGGGAAAAGTGGGGGGAGGGGGTGGGGGTATTGCTCCCGGCAYCCCCGTCTCCGTGGTCCATGTGATTCATTGATTCGTTCGTTCGTTCATTCTATTATAACGATATTTGAATTCATACCTCTATTCCTCTTTCTGTTTATAGTTTGCAAAGCTACTGTTGATCTTGGCATTGTCATGGATGGTTCAGGAAGTATCGAAGCACAAGGTGTTGGAAACTTTGACAAGTGCAAGAATTTCGTCAAAAAACTAGTCGACGGATTTGATATTTCACCACAGGGCACCCACATTGGACTTATACTTTTTAACCATAATTCCAACGTAGAGTTCGGTTTTGATAAGTTCAATGACAAGCAATCAATATTTAAATACGTCGATGGAATTGTATATCCTAGAGGAGGAACCAACACTGGAAAAGCACTTCAATTAGCAAAAACAGGTCTTTTTGACGCCAGTTCACGAAAGGGCGTGCCTAACATTCTTGTTGTCATGACTGATGGAAAATCAAATGATCGCGTGACGGAGCCTGCACAAGAATTGCGTAACTCTGGAGTGACTGTCTTTAGTATAGGGGTTGGTAACGGATTTGATAAGACTGAACTGAAAGATATGGCAACAGATCCAGATTCTGAACACGTGGTTACTACAGGGTTTGACCWACTCGACGGCGTAATTGAAAAAATCAAGGACAAAGCTTGTAAAGGTAAGCCAAGGGTGGTAAAGAACCTCCCCTATAGACCCTCTCTCTAGGTTTACCCTTTAGAGTCTTGGGTTTGATTCCTGTACTCGGGTTGGTTCCTATGATTCAAAAGTTTTGTATTGGGTTTTCAGCTTTTCAGCTTTTCCTCCCTCTGTCATACCCATCCTTTGAAATTTCAGTTAGTGAGTTAGCCGTGAGTTAGATCGCATGTTTCGAGCATATAATACAGTAAACACCCGTATAAAAGGCATTAAGGATTTAGGAGCTACGCTTCTCTCGTGAGTTCTCGCAGATCTCCCCAGGTGATCTTGAGGAACGCGCGCAAAGAATTGTTGTAGTTGATCAGGCGGTCCTAGTTGTTTATCGGCAAACAAAGAGCTATCATTTCACGATAATTTCGTAAAAGAATTGAAACCACAACGCACCATTTGACCCATAGGTATTCATTATAAGAATAGGTAGAATTTTAAATGTATTACTAGTCCATAAAGTAGTTAGGGAAGCAAAGATTCAGAGTAATTTTTTCGGCCGCCATGTTTTTTTCGAAGGGCCGCCTGATCAGATTTCGTCCTGCGCGATGATTGGCTGGTTTTTGATGGGCTGTCAAAACGAGATCACCTGGCTGTTTTGATCAGAGTATCTAACATGGAAAACAGTTTTATATTTCTTATACTGTACACCATATCAGAACCACCTTAATGCCACAAAGCATCCTATATATAAGAACAAATTCAGCCTGAAATTTAAAAGTTTTTATGAAATGCAGGTGTTTACATTCTTGGGTTGCATGTTAAAAAGCCGTCATATTGGTTGACAATAACAAAGCATTCCTTATTTGCTTCTCCTGTTAGATCATCCAAGATGGCGGCTGTACCATTGTTATTTATGTCTCAAGGGATTTTTAATCATGTAGTTGCACCCCAAGAAAAATGATTTCTTGAGTTTGAGACATATCTCTCTACTGACAAATTGAATCCAAGATTTTGAACTTAATTTCTTTTTAAAGGCGCGGGTGGTGCAACACAATCTCCAGCTGCAGGTATGAATTATCTAATATTTTCGATGAACAKGGATTGAAATAAAAAGAAGAGATAACAAGTTAAAAACTAGTGTGAGCTGCGTCAGTGTTTCTAATGAAACAGTAATGATGAAAAGGTAAATTATACACCGTGAAAAGATGATAAAATGAATTCATCTTTTCACGGTGTAAAATTTACCCATTTATCATATCATTACTGTTTTATGGATTGAAAGAACTATTTACTTTGGGCGTAATGCTTTGCTCATTTAAGACCACGTGTCCTGCCCTAGAGTATCATTTCTTGCAAGTGACGTCAAAGCAGCTCAATTTGTAGGACAAAACAAAATATTTTAAATCTCCTGAGAATTGGAAACCTATTGATGTGTCCTCCAAATTAAGCTGTATTCCGACGTGCTGCAAGGGGTTTCTTGCTTGTTGTTAAAATACTTGAAGACATAAGAATAACGCCATTTCATTTGTACTCAGTTTTACCCCTCATGCCATTCTCCTGAGTATGTTTTCTTTTTTTTTTCTCGTAAAAAGGTARATATTACAGCCCAGGCACTTCGAATACCTTGTTTAGAAACAAAGCAAAATCTACAATAGCTATTGGAAACTGCGACCATTACACTAAAATTATAAATTTAAAAATGCAGCTTTTGTAATATATTTATCAGTAAAAATTAGAAGGAAGGGGGGGGGGGGGGGGGGGGGGGGGGGGGGGGGGGGGGGAGAGGAATCTCCTAAATTAACCAATTTTTTTGCTGACTTTTTTTTCCATTTCATTACAGCTTCCGCAACACAACCTCCATCTAAACCTTTATTTCCATCACCGGCGTTACCACCTCCAGCACCACCACCACCACCACCTCCACCACCTCCTGCACCACTACCTCCTGCCCAAGGTTTGAACGACCAAATTGTCTCTATATTAGAAATCGGGTGCCTGGAAATTGATTTTTTCTAAACTTTTGTCTTATCAAACAACAATCTCCTCCCGTCAGGCCCTCCTTCCTCCGTCCCCCGTCAATAGAGACTTTTAGTACAGCGCTCTTGCTAGGCACACAAAACTCAAACTGCAGTTTGACGTCAGGCGTTTAGCAAGGCAACATAACGAAGTTGTTGCTGGAAGAGCCGCCATATTGAATGTCATTAATGTCAAATGTTTCTTCATGTTTGCGGGCATTTCCCAGGACCTGAATTCCAGTGGTTAATGGTCAGCCGTTAGCAGTAAACACGATGCTAAAGGTCTCTAATGTAAATATTTTGACGCTGAAATGAAAGTAGCGACGATAATGGATCTGTTTTTAAAAAAAAATACATTGATGTCTTTACCTTGACCCTGATGCACTAAAAGAGCAATCGAATGATAGTTTTTTAGATCAGTTGTTTTGATGTGAGACACTTCTTCTGTGACACCTCTTACATAAGTCACCAATAGTCCCTTTAACAGTTCGCTGCGCCATCTTGAAAGGTAGCCGTGCCTTTGCATCGAAGCGAGACGAACGGTGAGCTTGCAATCATAGAGACCTTTTTTAACACCTTCTTCAAATATTGAGGTCTCTCACATTGCAAGCACACCGTTTCTCTCGCTTCGATGCAAAGGCATGGCTAACTTTCCATGACAGTAACTGGGATATTCTTAGCAAAAAGTGCCGTATAAAGCAATGTGATTGGCCGAAGTCAATACACGACTGATTCTGCTCTGCTCTCTCCTGATTGGTTTAAGTTTTTTCGCATAGCTATTGGTTAACTTTGTAAGAGTGGTCCCTGTTAGCGCGTCTGCGCAGCGAGAACCTTTTTGAATTATGTTCGCTTTTCTTCGATTTCAGCACCATGTAAAGCCAAAGTGGACCTCGGATTCCTATTGGATGCTTCAGGAAGCATCCAAGCTCCTCCAAAAGGAGCACCAGGCAACTTTAAAAAGTGTTTAGACTTTATCGTTAAAATGGTACAGGAATTCGAAATTTCTGCTGATGGCACGCACATTGGGCTTGTACGTTTCGACAACAACGCCAAAACTATTTTCGACTTCAAAAAATTCACTGATCAGTCAAGTGTGAAGACAGCTGTGGAGGGTGTGACATACACAGCTGGTGGAACCTTAACTGGAAAGGGATTAAGATTGGCTAAAAAAGAGCTGTTTGATGCCAGTGCTCGCAGCGGTGTGAGACATATCTTGATTGTTATGACTGATGGAATTTCATTCGATAGCGTCGATGCCCCTTCAAAAGAACTTCGAGATTCTGGAGTTAATATATATAGTCTCGGCATAGGCAAAGGTTATAATGAAAGGCAGCTGGACGTCATGGCAACTGATCCTGATGACAAGCACGTGTTCAAAGCAGAATTTGATAATTTGGGTAGTGTGGTGAAAATCATTAAGGACCAAGCTTGCAAAGGTATGTTCATTGATTCAAGTATTTTAAACAGCTACACAAATACTACTAACCACAACCTAATGGGGGGGGGGGGGGGGGGGGGGGGGGGGTATGAAAGTGAAATGAGAAATGGAAAATATGTATTCAAAGAAACTATGAGATTTGAAGCATTGAAAGATTAATTTATCTAAAATTCATTTAGCTCCCCTTTCACTGATTATCCCATTTACATTTCTTTCTTTCATTTTTCTTCGATTTCCTTTTTATTACAGAATCAAACTCGGGTAGCACAGGTGAGTACCAAGCTAGATAATTGAACATATGTATATATATAAATTCAAATTTTTGAAATAGACCGTTTTATTTTAACACTATCTTTTTGAACTTCAAGCTAAAACAATAATTGAAAACAAACTTCGTACTCTTAGGCATATTATATAATATAAATGACAAAAAAAAAAAAAGACGTTAAAAACTCATTTGAGTGGCGCGTCGGCACGAGCGAAACCGTACAGCAGCGCAAGCAAGCGATGCATGTCATGCCATGTTTTGATTTCCCATACAAGAGTCATTTATTCATTTATGCTTAGCTCTAACTCACCGTACCGAGCACTTTTCAACCGGATCAATCGACCCACAGTTTACTGATTCATTTATATACAGCTATTTCAAAAAGTGTTGAATACTGAATACTGCATACTGAATAGTGCAAACAAATAAAAAAAGCACCTTCCCCCTCCCCCCCCAACAAATAAAAAAGGCACCTTCCCCCTCCCCCCAAACAAATAAAAATGCACCTTCCCCCTCCCCCCAATAAAAAAAACCCCGCACCTTTCCTAAATATTTAAACATTTTCTTTTATTATATCTATGCTTTCTTCCCGTAAAGGTACAACTACGACAAGCGGCTCACAAACAGGTAATTAACTATAAATAATATATTAATTTCCAATGAGGAATAAATGAAAAACAATTGTTTTCTTTTCTTTTCAAAGGTACAACTTCTGGTGGCTCACAAACAGGTTGGTATTTTTACTTTTAGCCGGGCTAAAGTGGCATCTTAATTGTCTTGAGGATCTAAATTTGAAAAAGAAAAACTGCTGTTGATGGTGATGGTATTCTAGCCTTATCATCCAACATGGCGTCTATRTTTTGTCTAGTTTATGACTTGGGAGTTATTCTGTTCCAATAACGTTGATTTATGTCCCAATCCATCAATCCTTATTTTTACGTTTTTTTCTCTTTTTAGGTTCAATTACAACAGGATCATCAGGTTTGACTTTTAATGTTATTGTTATTATTATCATTATTGTTGTGGTTATTTCGTTTCAAATTGTTGACGCCCATTTACTGGAATGCTCTATATTTTCCTCTCATCCAAATATAAAATCCATACTCTTCTTCTGCATACTATTTTCGGCTTTGTGGGGCAACCGGTCAAAAAACTGTCAGAAAATAAAACGTTCTTCAATTCCTATATCTACTGATTATCAGTATTTTATTAGGTTTGGTGTTACAGAAAATGTGATTGATTCACGAAAAAGTGTTTAAAATTTGCACTTTTCTTTTTGCTTCCAATTGTTTTATTTCATATTTAACTTTTCTCGCGGAGCAGTATAAATTAACTTCACACACATGCCTTGTTGGACGTATTGCGTAACGTCGTTCGGAGCCTTAGAAGCCAAATTTTGCCACCTCCGCCCCCCTCCCCCCCTTNCCCCCCTCCCCCTCCCCTAGGCCTGGTAGTGGTGATGTCCATGTCCCTCTAGCTTCCTAAGACCCTCCTTGGTTAGTAATTGCCTAAGCGTAATCAGGGGATAAAATATTTTGTCTCTAAACGCAGTGCTCCAGAATTACGATATTATAATGTTCAAGTTATATACTCCTGCGTATGGAGATCGTAGAATCATGTATAATGTGTCACCAATCTTCGTCCATTGATTTGGTAAGATGGGAGCAGAAGGGAGAAAAGAATCCCTACGTCTATCAAATCCAAAGTCATTTTCGAGGTTTCTTTAAGATGATTTTGAATAGAGAAAGAAGAAAATACGGAGAAAACTGACCACGCTAATTCCCGCCAAATTCATTTTCGGGGCTTCTACGAACGCTAAAAACAATTTTGTTGGCGGTTATTGTACAGTATTTAGCCGATTTTTTTTCAGGGCAACAGTTAGTGTTCTGAAGCAGTAGTTAGTTCAATGGAACCTGTCCCTTCGGAGAAAACGCTGTCTTTGAATAAAGTACAGAGTCAAACTCAACTAACAAATAGTCAGATATTTCTAAATCAATGCCACTTCAGTTTCAGTTCCCAGTAAAACCACGATAGACCTCGGCTTTTTATTAGACGCTTCAAGTAGCATCGATGTTCAACATCACTTTGAATACTGCAAGAACTTTATTATTGCGTTGGTTAGGGCTTTCGATATTCGCGCTGGTGGCACTCACGTTGGACTTGTACGTTTTGAAACAAAAGCAGATGTAATATTTGACTTTAACAAGTATACTGATGTGTCAAGTGTGGTGGCACGCGTGCAGGAAATACAGGGTCGAGGAGGAGAGACCAATACAGCTAATGCATTAGATGTCGCTAAGAACAGCCTATTTGATGTAAGCGGAAGAAAGGGTGTGAAACACGTCTTGATTGTCTTGACTGATGGCCGAGCAAACGACCACGAATCAGTTCCTGATGCTTCACGACGTTTACGTAATTCTGGAGTAAGCGTCTTCAGTATTGGTGTAGGAACGGAGTATGATTTTAGTGAACTATTAGACATGGCAGGCGATAAATATCATGTTTTTACTAGAAGGTTTGAAAAATTGCTAGGTCTGGTGGGGACCATAAAAGACAAAGTTTGCAGCACAGGTATTTGTTCCAGATAACTAATAACCGGCTCAGGGACCTAGTAGCACTCCAGCCGCACTAGGTTTAGGTCAAAAATACCTTCGTTTAAGAGGGAGGAGAAGAAAATCGCATATACTGAGTAACCCCAGCAAGGTGCCATGCAGCTAAACTGCCATGCGAGACCAGGTTATTTAGCATTGAGCCCGCACACAGCAGTAAGAGGTGGTACGCGGAATGGTTATACCCTGTTACCCTTATGTCTCAATCAAGGATTTCGTGCGCAGTGCAAAGAGCTTTGAAATAAACAGCCTATTAAACATTATAAAAAATGCCATGTATATTGGTATTGATCAGCGATGTAACTGTAAAACTGTAAAACTGAATAAATGAATATATACATGTATAAAAGCATGTGTTAAATTCTGTAAACTATACGTCTAAAAAGATTAAGCATATTTCTCTTATACATATGTACTCCTTGTTAAGACTAAAACTAAAGCTATGTAAATATAGAAGGCTTTGTAAATTGATAAATTACATAAATTACATTGCAACTGATGTTAACTAGTCTGGCAACTACGATTTTTTTGCGCAATTTCGATTCCGTAGCTCGCAACGTCTTGTCAAATTCAACGGCTTTCGTTTGATTCACATAGTCCTTCTCTGAAACAGAAAACAGTTAATTATAGCCGTCTAGTTTCGGTACTACAAGCATCTTCTGTTCATCGTACCTTATCATACTGTTCGTAATACAAAATTGTATTTTTTGCGCAAAGTCGCTTGGCTAAAAATTGTCGTTGCTGGTATCATCATTCAACAACAACAATCGTACAACATTCAGCTAAATTCAACTATAATTACTTATTTATGTTAAGCAATCTAGGTGTAAATTCGAATAGATAAAGCTATAAAACTGTGTAAATGAATAGATGTAACTTTCAACTTGTAACTTAGGTCAAACGTTACACGTCACATGAGCCAGACCTAATGACATAAAAGAATGTTTTCAATGCGTGCGGCTCATGTGAAGTTGAACATTTGACATAAATCTTAGTTAACTAGATATCCGCAAGAAAATCAAAAGCAAAAGTTTAAAGTTGCCACTCAAATAAATATAAAAACATGTGCTGAGCTGTATGCCTATTGATTTCTGTTAAGCCCTGGCTAAACGAGGAAACATGTTTCCAGAAACATGTTTACAGCGTGCATGTTTCCTCGATGTTTCCCAGTTTAGCCACATGCGAAACATTGCTGCGTGCAACAAATTTTGCTTCCAAAATTATTTCTGCTCTGCGGCAGAGGCATTTCATATTTCCAAGACGCATGGAAACATTGTTTCCCGATGTTTCCTGACAGTTTTGCCACCTTAGGAAACAGTTAGGTAAACATGTTTCTGGAAACATGTTTCCTCGTTTAGCCAGGGCCTTAAACTTCTAGCTTTTTAAGTAAAGATTAAGTTGTCTCAGTGAACAAAAATCCATAGTGAAGCGATGTAAATATAAAGCAATCTGTGCATAGGAAACTAAATATTGCTCAACACACTACACAACTTCACGGTAAAAGCTTTGCAATAGAAGGTGAATGCTAATTCCTTTGGCCCTTAAAACTCAGTGGGGTGGGCTAAAAATTAAATCTACTGACCCCACAAACCAAAAACGTTCTTATACATTGTTATGAATATATATATAATTAATAATAATAATGTTCTTATTAGAGTAAATAACAAGTGTTCATATTACTAATATATGTTTTTTTCTTTTCTTTTTTATCTTTCATTAATGTTCAACCACACAATGCGCAGGCGCGGGTAAGTTAATTAATAATCTTAGATAATTTCAATCTCGTACCCAGAGCCTGCGTTTCTTCTAGCCTGCGGCGAAGAACAAGGGCTCTGGCATAATTCATATTTTAGCGCATGCGCAATTTTCGGAAAGTGAGATATAACCGATCAAAATAATCAAAGTCAAAATCAAAGTCAAAATCATAGTAAAAATTAAAAATAGGGGGAAAGAGATTTTTAATTTTTGGCATGTCTTTGAACGCGTGCGCTSTTATACCGGAAGTCCAAGAAATCCTGGTCTCCTAATATGGATTATGCCAGAGCCCTTGTTCTTCGCCGCAGGCCAGAAGAAACGCAGGCTCTGGGTACGAGATTGAGATAATTTTTAGAAGTATCTCTAAAGAAATAAACCCATTTTAATAATCTCAAACAGGCCCCAAAATCTGGGTGTTTTTCTTCAATTGATCGTAAAAAAAATTTTTTTTTTGGTTCTTAGCGGTAAACTTGATTTGCGGAATATACCAATCAATCAGAAACTGCAAAAAATCTAAACGTTTTATCCGTAATCTTACATTTAATTATTAAATCAGAAACTAGATTACAGAATCTTTTACTCTGCTGACAGTCTCCTCTTCATTCCTCAGTCATATATATGTATATATGTAACAATTAACTAACTCACTTTTGACCTATCAGAAGCTTGCTTACATATGCGTAACAATCAACTTACTCACTTTTGACCAATCAGAAACTGCCTTATAGAACCTTACAGCTGATATATTCATCAATATAACTTACTCAATTTTGACCAATCAGAAACTGGCTATATGTAACAATTAATTTACTTGCTTTTGACCAATYAGAAACCGGCTTAGAGATTTAGATCAGTCGCGTAACTCGCCTTCACTTATGACTAATCATTTTTGATGTTGTTTGGTCAATCAAAAATATAACCAAGAATCTACCCTACTTGCATCATTCTTTTAACTCTCCTAATTCTCTATTGACCAATCAGAGACTGGCTTGCATACTTAACAATCTGTCAGTTCTGTAACATCTCGTTCATTCGGACGGGTAACGACTGATAAAATACTCAATGAACTTTTGAGAGACATTCAAGACAGTCAGCCACTAATGACTGAGTAACTCATCTTAGTAACAAATGATAACTAAGGAAAGGACAGCTAGCGTGGTGGAAGCCGAAAGGCTATAATGCTTTCACGAACCAAGTTATATAACCCAACTGTAACAATTTAAAGGAATGCTAGACAAGACATGGTAACCGAAKAATATTGCTCAACCACTGATCCAACTAACAGCAATAGTAAACATTTTGCCAAGATTTTGACGATACACCAGACGCGCCCTGACATCACGCTTATCATATCGACGCCCTGGTGTCAATACCCCAACGAAACGACTCAGTGACCAATCAATTGTGCGCACGTCAACCATAGGGTGGTAAATTCGATTATATTTTACCGATCGATTTACACGCTTRTCAATTGGATCTTATCATATAGTCAATAGAAATTACTGGAATCCGCYTTGAGGAATCATGCACGAACTCTGATACTATTATTAATTTCAATGGCTTTTTAGGGGTAGGAGTTCAGCCGATAGCCGTCTATCCCTTTAACGCTCAGTTTACGACAAGAGATGCCCTTGGCAAAGCACCCCAAGGCGTGGCTAGCAATGTAGCACTTGCTCAAGGATACAATGGCCAGGCTAGTGGAAGCTACCAGTTTCAAGGCAACGCAAACAGCTACATTGAGATACCTAACAAAGAAAATGGCATCTTGGACACCAAAGGATCTATGACTGTCCTGGCCAAAGTGTTCATTGAGCAGAGAGGCCCGCTATTCAATTACAAAGTCGACGGCTGGGGGGTACATTTTTGGATTGTAACTGGTCCAAAACTCTTCGTCCGTGTTACTAAAAGAGAAAAAGAGGGTTTTACAACCCAATTGATGAGCGACCTTCAAAAAAATGAATGGAAATCTGTGGGATTCTCATACGATTCATCAAGTGGGGTGGTTTCATTGTGGGTCGACGGAAATCTGGCAGCATCAAATAACATCGGCAAGATTGAAACCTCCACTAACCACGCTATCCGTATTGGGGCAAGGAAAGGAGATAGCAGATACTTCAAAGGAAGAATCGCTTGTATACAAGTCTATAATGTCGCTTTGAATAAAGATCAAGTGCCTACTGCCATGAACTACTGTGACAGATATAAAACCAATGCTCAGCCAACAGGTGAATCCAATCAAGCGAATCCCAATCCCGAGGGAGAGTCCTATACAGAGAATGGAAAACATGTAGAACCTACAGAGGAAGTAAATCAGGGTCATAATGTGCCAGAAGAGTACGTTGAAAAGTACTAAAACAAAGATGTGTCTTGGTAAACGATAAGCATTTCAGTCAAAGACATTTTGCTACGAAAACCCGAATAGTGTTAAAAGTTTTCGGGCCAAAAAATGAGTCAAAAGTCGTTTATTGAAATGTAAATGATTAATCAATGATAAATAAATACTTTCAAAAGATCAAGTACGTTCAGTTTTTAACTTCTTTCTACACTCATATTCAGGTTGAAAACTGGCAGAACAGAGTGGGAGCTGAGGTTGGGTACCCGTGGGCTGCGCGGAGACTGGCACTAACCATTCATACAACACAAAAATATGCAGAAAATTGATAGTAACAGCTTTTAGGTCTTTCCTGAATTAATCATGATGCATTGTAATCTTGGGTAACACCAAATGTTCATCTTTCTGCCTTAAATGGCGTCATATGGAATACCCAAGATAGACCAGAATGCACTTCGTTCGTACTTGGCGATTTGAAAATGATTGCGCATCATCTCGGTACTTTTAGTGATAAGTCGAAGCAAATTCAACGCCAATAGGTTACAAAGTCTTGGACTCAGATGTAATGCGTGTTTGGGTTGTCACCGCTGAGGGATAAATCAGTCAAACAGGTCATACATTAACCCGTGAAATAAAAAATGTTAGTCAACGTGTAATAGTCAACAAATCAGACACAAAAGAAAACAATTTATGTCAAAATTTCTCTAATTTCATAAAACTCAAATAGTGACCCTAAATCGATATTACAGTGTAGGCTGTAAATCGTGTCGTCGTAAATGGCTTTGTGATAGCCTACCTACTTATAACAACCTWAAAAAACCTACTAGGACTGATCAAGCCAAACGTAAGAAATAAATGACAATCTTTGCTTCTTATCTGAGATGTGCTATTAAATCCAAAACTGTCTTTCTATCCAAGAACTGTAAATCTATGGAACCCTTTGCCTGACTCTATTTTTGTACTATTTTTTACTAAAAGCCTTATTTCAAAACACATTTGGTTATCAGCTGACTGCTCAACCAATTATCCTCAACAAGAGGGGTGGTTGTATCTGAAAAATAAATAAAAAAATATCAAGTTTCAATGATAAAAAGAAAAATAGAAGATTGCGTTGAAGAAGTTGCCTTTTGATTGGTCGAAAGTGAACTGCGATTACCTGTYGTTAGAAAACACGGTAGCTTTTGATTTGTAAGATTTCATCTATTGAATGAATTCATTAGTTAACGAAAACGGTGAACGGTTGATGTTCCTTGCTAAGATTTCTTATATTGATAGACACACCACAGGAATCCCATTCAGATAAACGTGAAGCAGGTCAGCTAAAATCCCAGCAAGAAATAGTTGAAGGTAAGCGTCATGATAGAGCAGGTTCATGATCTGTTCAAACAAATCTACCCAACCCGGCAATCAGGATTCTGGAACTGATATGCCGCAGCACGGCATGCTCTCAAAGTCAGTAAAGAATGGCCAAATGCTGTTTTATTAATGCCTTTTTCCTGTTTCTTGTAGTAAGCGATGAAAGCGATAGAAATTCCATCGACGAGGAAAAGTTGAAACAAGGTAAATAAGGCTCCGTCCACACATTTTTTTTGCGGATACGGGTTGCGTCCACACGTGTCCGGAAATTTTTGTATCCGTATCCGGAAATTTTCGAAAACGGTCTCCAGAGTGGAAATTTTCGAATACGCTCCGAATACGGATACGTGTGGACGGTCGTATACGCAAATTTTCGAATACGCTGACATAAACACGATTTTGCGCATGCTCAATAAGAAACACTATCGCTAAGAAGGGACTAGGCACTAGCGTGCATCAGGGCGGATCATGAAATTTCCGGATACGCGTGGACAGTGAAAACGATTCGAGAACGATTCGAATACGCTGCGTGTGGACGCGAACATTTTGATGTCCACGAAAAAAAAAAAAAAATTGCGGATACAAAAATTTCCGGATACGTGTGGACGGGGCCTAAATTATGACAATTAATCAGCTACTACAAAGCGACTTTGTCATTGGGGAAGGGGGTAGGGAGGGTTTGGGTTTTGCTGAACAAAGACCAAAGGGGTGTTTAGGAGAGAACAAATCAGCACATTCACTGACCCCCTTTGTGTGATTTAGGCCCCGTCCACACGTATCCGGAAATTTTGTACCCGCAAATTTTTTTTTACGGATACGGGTTGCGTCCACAAGTGTCCGCAAATTTTTGTGTCCGTATCCGCAACTTTTACGAAAACGGACACGTGTGGACGGTGAAAACGATTCGAATACGCTGCGTGTGGACGCAAACATYTTCGYATCCGCGAAAAATAATTTGCGGATACAAAAATTTCCGGATACGTGTGGACGGGGCCTTAGTTGTTCCTAGCCAGTTGTCATTATTGACCTCCATCACAATAATTCTCATATCAAAACCTTTTCRATTGAGTTGTTATATCTTTCATAATATATAATCAACATCAACGATCCTCATCAGTCATTATCATCATCAATTATCATCATCATCATCATCAGTCATCATAATCAATCATCATCATCAATCATCATCATCATTAATGTCAGTTATTGCCTGATAGCCTTGTGGTTTACATCTTTCAGCTAACGAAAGACCCAACAGCTCAGAAACTGATGGTAAAAAAATTGCAGCAGAACATCTTGAACAGTACCCAAAAAACAGTGACAACAAAAACCTCGAAATGCCGCTGTCCAAAGTAACTTCAGAGAACCAGGACAAAAGTGATCAACAAATAACTGTTGATGAGCCAGAAACACCGACTGAAAACAGTTACGTAAACACGGATGAAAGACCATACCTAGACTTGGATACCGAGAATAAAATTCTCAGCCATTCTAGTTTTAAAGATGATGACAGCGATGTGCAATTAACGACCATTGATGAACCTCAGTCTACAAAGCACTTTTATGGACTTTCGTCTTCCAGAGATGATACCGACTCGATCAAGGGTACCGAGTTTGTTCACAGTCGACCTGCCAATAATAATAAAGAAGAGTACGTCTTTACAGGTAGGAATTACCGTGTAATATTAATAACTGGTACAAGGGACCGCAGAAAGGATATTTCTGGAGGGATAGGAGTAAAATTAACTAGGGGAATTGGTGGGGGTGTTATTATGGGACAGAGTTAATTGTCAAAGCCTCTTGCAGCATCCCTCCATCTTTCACTCTCTTTCTCCTTCCACCTCTTCTTTACCTATACTTACAATAATAACCAATTTGCATGGTCTCCTTTTGCATACTGTTTTCCATTTTCTGCTTCATCAACATAATTTGATCTCAGTTTTGGGGGGGGCGCTGTGTGTCTTGATTCTTTTTCTCTCCATTTATTCTTTTTTTTTTTTTTTTT